CATTCTTATTATATTCCTTTCCAGCGGTAGTCTGGGGTGGTTTGGTCTATGGGGCCCAAATGATGTGGTTATCCTTAATCGGGAACACCCAATCAATAATATATGGTGAACCGCCTTATAATTTCTCAGCCAATGCAGTTGGATTAACGAATTTGGGTGCATTTGGAGGATGTGTAATTGGGATGGTTGTTGGTGGTTATCTTGTTGATCATTCTTCAATTTTGTTGGCAAGAAGGAACAATGGTATTTTGGAACCTGAATTCAGATTATATTCTATGATAATCCCCACAATTGCTAATGCTGGCGGATTGTTGGCTTACGGATTAGGATCATATTATGAAGCACATTGGGCCATTTCTGTTGTCATTGGACAGGGACTTTTGGGTGTTGCCATGGGCGCTTCTGGAGCTATATGTTTAACTTATGCCGTTGATTGTTATCATAACCTTGCTAGTGAGAGTATTGTTTTTATTCTTTTTGTCAGAAATATGATTGGTATGATTTTCTGTTTTGTATTTGAAGATTGGTTGGAAGGGTGTGGACTTAGTTTGACTACCTGGCTTATGTTTATGTTATCAATTCTTATTAACGGTAGTTTTATTGTGTTTATCAAATGGGGTAAGACTTTCCGTAGAATGACTATGGCAGCTTATGCTAAGTATTCTGATCCATTATATGGTGACATATTCAGAAAGAAGTCTTAATGAGAGTTATATATTATAGTAATAGCATATTTATTTAGTTTAGTTAATATTAATGAAAAATAATCGATCGGTAGTAAAAATTCTATAGGCAAATTGAGCTGTATGGAATTTGCAACAAATCATGTTCATCTTTATCAAGTTACAGAATCCAATATTCTAAAGGTAAGAATAAAGTTACTATTCCTAATGAATATTAACTTTACATGAGTCAATAGATCTAGAACACAAATTGGCTACTGTAAATCAACGAAATACAACTCGTGCTAAAAATGGTATAAATATTCTTGTTGGGGTTATTCAATACATTAAATAATATAAAGGGTTTCAAAGAGACACTGACAAGATCATGGGAAAAGATATACATATTATTAGTTGCAGATGAGTTAGCACATATATCACAAGCAACTCACAATACTTAAACGCAGCCTATTGTGCATTCAGTACTTGTTGTACGACTTAAAAAGTGTGGTGATCGCCACTCAAGTGTAAAGTAACATTAGTACCCATACTGCGGGGTGCTTCAAATACCCTAGATATGCCATATGTATTTATTGTAAGAATTCCAATGTTTTAGTATACAGTTTAGCTTGTTCTGTATCTTCGTTTTGTTACATTTAGGTTCCTATAAGATCCACACTAATGTAGCATAGCCTGCATCCTGTATTACATTAAGTGTAGCTCTATGAGAAGTCCTAAAACTCATACTTTTGGTTTTTCTTTTATGGCTCCTTGAATAAATCAATTATTGGTCTTTGAGTTATTTTCCTAGCTTAGATTATAGCCCTTATTCAGGGTATATGCGCTTTCCTAAATGCAGAAGCTGCTAGACTAATTGTCAAACTACGCGACTCGATTTCTTCAACTATTAATAATTAAGGTTGCTTAACAAAGGAGAGCAAAGAAAACTTCTGCTTCGTGGTTGAATATTCCCATTTAGCCTAAATTCGGGAACGGTGTGACATTATGTGACTCATTTTTCCAAACAATGCACACCTTATCTTAAATTTTTACTATTTTAGATTATTCTAATGTGTTATGTGGATAAAAATAGTCGATAATTGATTATTTTATATCGAACAATTAGTAAGCAAAAGGAAAGCCAATAAGGAGATAAAGACGAATGCTGTCAGGGTCATATCTTAGCCGGAAATTCTCTGAAAACTTCAACTGATTGCATCAACAATGAGCTTTTATCTGCTGATATTAATTGATTGCATCAACAATGAGAGGTCTCGCATAGCACCAAATTGCCAACACAAAACAGAGATATCTGATAAGACCGACAATGTGACTTACACACACATATTTAGATAAGATCCGGCCGGTGTATATTTCGGAGCCGAGAAGGTGATATTGGATTATATTACAATGGATTTCTTGTACAAGTTTTACTTACAGAAAAGGGAAACAAGCGACAATAGCCCAGCGGGGAAACATATGAAAACACCTTTATTCATAAGCCCAGTGGCATAATATGTAGTAAGGGTTACAGTCCTTGATAACAATTGGGCATTAGCGATATCCAAATAATATCCAAGCCATAGTTTGCATTTTCTTTGGTGGCAAGCCATTTGCATGACCAGCTCCTTTTGTTTCCTTGGGGCAATGGCCACACCTTAGTTTGTAAAATATCTCAAAGGTCATAAGAAAAGTAATATATTGGGGGCTTTAAGTTTCTATCCCCTGTTCTTTTGAATACTTAGCACTTGTTCTAGTGTTTCTCAGTGGCAAGGAGAATGCAAATGTTTTCAGTTGTTAGCCGTATAATTCGGTAAAACCTTCAGGTTTCCCGATTTTGATTTGCCGTGCGTATGAATTGTGCAATAACGCAAAATTTAATGTTTGAACCTGAAATATGCCAAAATCAAAGAACAATAGAGGGAATACTGATTCACTCAATAGGGCCCTGACAACGGAATTCCCTTTCCGAAAGGTGACTACAGCTGTTCCCCATTAGATAAGCCGGAAATTAAGAAAGCAATTATAATCAAAATGATTGTGAACAATGTAAATGTACAATGGGTTTGTGGTGGGAGATAATGGCTTGGGCAGAGCCATCTCTGCCCCCACGCTCCCCCACAATTCAAGAACCCACACCATAACAATATAAAAGGCTATGTTGATCCTGGACATTATCTTCATCTCCAACTGAATACGAAAGAAGAAAAAGCACAGACTAATACAGAAATGTCATTAGAAAAACAAAGTAACTCTGATTTGGAGCACGACGCTGTTGTTACCCCAGATATTGAGATCATACCAGGTACTGTTCAATTAGTCGATATCACAGGAGGTTTAGATGTTAAAAAGAATGACTCGAATGATAATGTTATCTTATTACCCCAACCAACAAAGGATATCAATGATCCATTGCGTTGGACAAAATTAAAGAAACATCTTCAATTTTTTTTTGTTTGGTTTTGGTGTTTTATACTTGCAGCCACTTCAAATTTCTATGGTCCATTATGGGGGGTTTGGATGGAAGACTTAGGTTTCAATTTAAACCAATTAACCATTAGTAAGGCTATTATCTTCCTATTTCTTGGTACTGGAATCTTAGTTATTCAACCTACGGCATTGAAATTGGGTAAAAGATTCACATATTTGACATGTGCCGTTGTTGGTATTGTCGGATTGGCAATCGGATCACAAGCAACCTCAATTGGGTCAATTTTTGTAGCTCAAGCATTTGCGGGTGTATCTGCTGCTCCTGTTGATACATTGTCAGAAATCTCGGCTACTGATATTTATTTCCAACATGAAAGATCGACTGCATTTGCTTTAGTTATTCTTGCACTTTATGCTGGGTGTTATTTGGGACCAGTTGCTGCTGGATTTATTGTTGAGGGAGCAGGTTGGAGATGGTGTTATTATGTCCAAATTATCATCTATGTTATTATGTTTATCTTTTTATTGTTCACAATGGAAAACACTTCATTTAGACGTGACCATACTACAGAAGACGAATTTGAAGAAGGTGTGATCAAAGCTGTGCAATCAAAGGAATTACACGTTGCCACTCTGATTGCCGAAGTCAATCAAGAAACTGGAGAAGAAAATGATGGGAATTCAATTGATGAATCTATCCCCGAGAAAACTTATAAACAACGTATGAAACTCATTCAAACTGACAACAATGATGAAAGATCATGGCTTTTGATCTTCTCTAGACCATTCTTAATGTATTCGTTCCCAGCGATAATTTGGGGTGGTTTGGTCTACGGGGCTCAAATGATGTGGTTATCATTAATCGGTGCCACCCAGGCAGTAATCTATGGAGCAGAACCGTATAATTTCTCAGCTAATGGAGTTGGATTGACTACCTTGGGAGCATTTGGAGGAAGTGTAATTGGGATGGTCGTTGGTGGGTATCTTGTTGATAATTCTTCAATTTGGTTGGCAAGAAGGAATCATGGTATTTTGGAACCTGAATTCAGATTATATGCTATGATAATTCCAACAATTTCTAATGCTGGTGGATTGTTGGCATATGGATTAGGGGCATATTATGAAGCGCATTGGGTGATTTCGGTTGTTATTGGACAAGGGCTTTTGGGAGTTGCTATGGGATCTTCTGGTGCTATATGTTTAACTTATGCGGTTGATTCTTATCATAATCTTGCAAGTGAATGTATTGTTTTTATTCTTTTTATAAGGAATATGATTGGGATGATTTTCTGTTTTGTATTTGAAGATTGGTTAGACGGATGCGGGCTTAAATTGACTACTTGGCTTATGTTTATGTTATCAATTCTTATTAATGGTAGTTTTATTGTGTTTATCAAATGGGGTAAGACTTTCCGTAAAATGACTATGGCATCTTATCATAAATATTCTGACCCAACATATGGTGAGATATTCAAAAAGAAGTCTTAAGGAGATATACATATCATATTAGTAGTTTGAAAGAGGGATGTTGAAATACATTTTAGAGGCGATAAATCTTTAGTAAGGCTTTACTGGTGAAGCAGCCGTTTTGTAATCGGAAGACTTGAGGTGCTACTACGTCTTTGAACCATTCGGTAATGATAAAATGGGAATGTGCCTGCTGAATTGGAATCTTAGGGTGCTGGCTCAAGAAATATCACCATATCCTCTGACACCAAAGAAATTAATAACGACAATCAAAACA